AAGTGAAAAAGTAAGATTATGTTAATAAACAATCTAGAGATGAGAGATTGTCGACTTACATCGTGCGGGGTAAGCACTAGTGTCTGGGGAGATTTGCTGGGGGTTGTTACTCTGGCTGGACGAATTACCACGGACAGCTTCAGTACCGTCCTTCCTCGGGTCCTCAGTCAGCTGTTGTAGAATCTCGTCTACATCCTTGGCCTGTTAACAAGAACAATGTTGTTATCATTCTTCCTTAACAGTTGAATACAGTAGAACTTAACTCACTTATTTTTGATTTTTTTTTGACAAAGGATTTTTTCTTTCATGCTTTTTTTCTATTTGATTATTCCTGCAATTTCTCTTCACATTTTTTCACAGAATGTGACACAATGGATATGGTGGATCCTGTAATATGAAGTCAATATCTCTGAGGAATTTATTTGTCATGTGTACCCCATGTCACATGACCGGTGCAATTCAATTTTTGCTGTCAATTTTTCAATTATGAGGTCATGATATAGAGCATTGCCTTTACTGTGAGAAACATTAACATAATGAGGTGATGATGGCAAAGTGTTCATAACAATTTATTTGGAAGCATATACATAGAAGTATTTGATCAATGTTTTCCTTTCATAACAGATTTTAGCTTCCATATAGTAAAGGCTTCAATGCTTCTGACTTGCTTTATATGCCCAAGAGAAACCCCATATTTACTCCATTAAATAGAAAATCTTAAATTCTTCATGATTTAAGGAGAGATTCTATAAATGTTGTATAACCTGGGTGAGGAGAAAGGCCTTCCCAAATTCGCTGTCAAAGTAGGTAGGGATCCTTTTCTTCCTGAGTGAATCCCTGCCATCCAGTTCCTGGTTCATCTCACGCTGGTCCCTCTCCCAGTCAGCCATGGTGCGTTTGGGCTGGGGGGTCGGGGGCGGACTTGGTACAGGGGGAGCTGTCACTTTCTCATATATTCCTTTGATGTTGGCTGCAATATTATGTATTTAAAGTTAAATCATTCAAATCAGCAAAACAAAAAAACAAAAATCTATGAAGAAAATAAATTGTAAAAACTTGCAAACTATTTATCAATGAATTTCAATCAATTACTAACCTACTGATTTATAAGTTTTTAGCTCAAATGTTTTTTTTTGTTCCATATGACCATGAAGCACAGACTTTACTTGAAATTTAAAAGGCATTTTGGGCTTCTCAAAATTTGATCTTCCGGAGCATCATATGTTTTTCTTTTTGCCTAAAATTGGCATATAACTACCTAGTAGAAATTAGCACTTGCATTTTATTCAAAGAAATGAAGTTGTCTGATGAGTTAATTTCATAACACTCTTGAGTGAATATGTTAGAGACATATATATTACTGTTGTTGGGAACACCCTTATCTCCGCATACATACCTGGCTCATACTGTGGAAGTTCCCGTCGAGCTGTCTGGAGTCCGATCTCTGTAAGATCTGCAGCATGGATCCTTTCCTCGTCTGTCCTTGGATCAACTACCTGCATCATGTCAGTCACCTTATTTCTCTCAATCACAAACTCGGCATACTCTTTAACACCCGCCTTCAGGCTGTGAGGACACAAAGAAGTAAACATATGATCACATAGCTATAAAAAATGCAGTTATAATTTTCTTAAATTTCTATTTCATATTCACAGAAAGATCACATCATGAATCATAATGTACTTTTGCTTCAAAATACTTGGAATAAGTTTAATAGCTTAATAAAATTTGGTTTGAAAAATAAAAATTTGAAATGTTATTCTAGAAATCTCACAGTATGATGAGCAAATCTATTCAGTGTAAATTGTGTCCCTCAAAGGAAAAACCACATTCACATAGTGTTAACTTTTCTCTTCAGTACAGTGGAATTAACATGCATAGAATGCAGTGCACTAATCTTTGCCAAATGATAAATTCAATCTCACTGCAGTGAACAGTTTTCTGGTATTCACAACAGAACAATTAAAGCAAAGCATTCTATAGTCCCTCATCTCTGAATATCAGAACATAAAACCATACACAAATGTAAAACCATACCATAAATCTCCATAAAGTGATGGATAATAGCTGATTTCAGTGTGAGGCACATTGCCATCTCATAAGGTACTTGCGTACAAATGGATCCTCTGGTAATTGTGGGTGACAGAGTAAACGAGAAATGCCCAGACAAAGTTAAGCACAGACTGACCAACTGACCGATTGCAAACCTGTACTATTTTTTCACAGGCCAGTAGAACAGGTGGGAGACAACTAGAATACTTGAACATGTTTTCAACAAAGTTACCATTAACTCACCTTTCTCTGAGAGACCCTGACACAGGTTTATACTGTATCAGCTGTCGCAGTTCTAAAACATTTGGACATTTTAGTATTGGGATTCTGATTGGCTGCCTTACTGCTGCTCCCACTGACAGTCCCTGTCCTAGGTTTTTACCATAGCCTGGTCCAGGGGTCTTGAATTCCTTAGGAGGAAGGGTTGTCAGGTCTCTACAGCGTATGCCTGGAGGAATGATGGACTCTTGGTCATACTTCTTAAAGAATCTTTCTGATGAGCCTCCCAGGTATGGTTTGAGAATGGTGATTCCAAGCACACCAGGATAGTCTGGTAGGTCATCCTTAAGCACTGCTGTTGCAGGACTGTGCTCTGCTGTGCTGAGATATTCTGCAACATCTTGGTAACGTAACAATTCTGTACCACTTCCATCTGAGTGAAGAATAAAGAATCGGGGAGCATGTTCCCTGAAAGTTGTCAATTTTTTATCAGTTTTGCCTTCATCCATACTAGATTCAGAAAGTGCATCTCCATTAACTGGAATCACGGTAAAGTCTCCATTACTCTTTACATTAAATACATTTCCATCTGAGTCGACAGTTTCCACAACAACATCAGCATTATGACAGAGAATGTACTGAAGCTCCCTCTCCGGGAGTAGCTGTTCCATGTTCCTGATTGGCCGAGGGTAGTAGGTGAGGGTGCCCTCCATGTCCACCTCCACACGTCCACCATCGTGCTGGTGTAACATGTAGTATCCGTCTGGGAATACGTTGATAGTCGTGCCATTACCAAATATGGTCAAGTTCTCACTTGTCGAACAATTAAATTCTACTGTAGCATAAGCAGGACATTCTACCTTCACAAACTTCACTGTCTGGGTTTCAAATTCTTTCATTTCTGAAATATTTAAAGAAACAAAATTTAGTCATATTACAAAACACAATATTAAACCTTTTTCTTACTGGAAAAAGGCTTTCTTTTATTAAGGTTTCTTATAATGAAATAATACTATAGTGTAACTGTAAATGTATCACCAATCACTGTGTACCACCTTATGCACTATACATAATTTCTCTGTATAATAGAGCTTTAGACATGCATACTATTTTGTATAGAGCAAAGTATAAGTATTTTGACACTAAATTCAATTGAAACCGTTTTTCCTGTGATAAAAACAAAATCATTTTCACATGCATATATACCAGAAGAAGTAAATACCATTGTCCTCAAAGTCCTCTTCGCCAGTAGCTATCTGGTTTTCCTTGTAGTATGTGGTGATCCTTGTACCGTCAGCATGCTCTATGATTGTAGTGCCATCTGGGTAACTAATGGTGATCACATGGTCATCTCTTGTTGCCATGGACTACATTGGAGAAATAGCATCATATAAAATTAGTTGTTCAATATCTTTCATTTCTATTGAAGTATGTGTAAGTAAATGAATAAATCTAGTCTATATCAAACTAAAACTGAATTTGAAATTGTCGTTGACCTTGACATTGATGCTAACCCTACCTGACTTGTCTGGGGATCTGAGGCCAAACTGATCATGACTGACTTGAGTTCCTCCATTTCGTTGTCACCTTTACAGGCCACTTTCTCCCCATTAGGGTAGGTTGTGACCCACATGCCCTTTTTCTCTGGTGCCTCCTCCTCTGGAGCCTGCTCTGCTATTTTCTCCTGGGACTTGGTCTTTCCCTTAGCACTGGCTGCTGCAACCAAACAATATGACAGAAGGTAAGGTTCAACAAAGCATCTCTGTTCCAATAACACAAAACAGACAGTGTGTATACACACATGACCTTTCACACACTATTTTTATTTAATTAACCAGATACAAGGAAGTTGTTACAATGTAATACTATCTTTATAATAATTTGGCAATCCTGTATATACAGTTTGATCTCCTGTAATATATTTTAACAGGCGCCTTACCTGTCTTCTTGGTGGGTGTTTCTGCCCTTTCTCCTGTCTGACTGCGGGCACTTCCAGCTCTCTGAGGGGAACTACTCCCACTTCTCTTACAAGCCCAAGGACCAGTGTGGACACTAACGGTACCATCTGCATACAGCACCTACAGGGACAACAGATTACTTACAAATTGTCATACCACCAGGTACATTTTCTAATGGTAACTTAAGACTGGGCACATTTTATGCAAAACCTTGAAATGAACAGCAAATATAGAATTATAATGTAGTTATGATTCTTCGCCATGATTTATGTGATCAGTTCTATTGATTGTCTGTATTGTGAATGCTAAAATTTACTTGTTCCTAAAAGATTTCACCAGAATAGTGACTAATGATGTGATAAATTTAAAAACTTTTTGGATTTTCAAAGATAAAAACAAATGTATTGGATAAACTTACCTCGACTGACCCATCCATCATGTTTTTGACCACGGTGCCTTCTGATGTGATGATACGGGACTGCTCCGACAGGGCAAACTTTCTCCGCTTGGACTCGCATGGCTGCTCACCCCGTGTTTTAAATGGATAACTTTGCTTAATGAGCAGACGGCGGTCATCCTCGGACAATGGCTTCATACCTGGCAACCAAACATAAGTGAAAACATTAAATAGGTCATTTTAAAACTAATACTTGATACCTATGAATGTAAACATTGAAACTGACTATAAGCAACCCATAAATTTCCACAAATATCCTGTCCATCCCCACAAAACAACTATTATCTGTTGATAGTGATGAAATCATTCATATTCTGTGCAATTCAGAATTCTACGTACCGATGGAGCTCTCCAGAAGGTACTTAACACTGAGGCCGTCGGGTGAGCTCACATACAGCTGCTGGAATGGCTGGAGAACAGGCTTCTCCTCATCCCTCTTCTCCTCCTGGTCCTCCTCCTTCTCTGTTTCCTGGGGCTACAAATCAATATTAAGATTTTTCCTTCATTTTGTGAAGTGATAAAAGTTTTATTTTTAATGAAAAAAAATCATTTTCACTAAAATGATGTATCATATGCAACTAGAGCGTAACAAATTAAGATATAATGACCCCTCCTCCCCTCCCTGCTCAGCAAATAATTTAATTTGGCTGGTGACTCTTGATTTAACTACCATCCTTTAACTCTGAAACCTGACAGCAGAATTCTCCACTTTTTGCTTTTGCCCCAGTTCATTTAATTCATTGCATATTGTTGGGAAATTTCACACCATTAATTTGTCAAGCAGGAATGATTGTAAGTGTTTTTTTCTTTTTGCATTTTGCCATAAAGTTGCTCGTTACTTACAGTGATGGGAGGTGGTGCCTCGGGAGTAGGGGCCCCTTTACCCTTGTCACCCTTCTTACTCTTTGTGGGTGATGGTGGGGGCAAAGGACTTGGAGTGGTGGGAGGAGGCACATAGACCTTCGGCTCATACTTCTTACCTGTAACAGCAATTACATAAATTAAAAATGTCTTAAAGAACATCAGTTATGGAAATTCTATCTCGGTCACTATTTTAAAACAACTTTTATATTAGTATTTTATATTCTATTTACATGTATTTTTTGTTCATGGAGAAATATTGACTTCACCAATATAAAAAAGAGAAATTCACAGGTACATAATTATACAAAAAATGTAAAATAGGAATATGTATCAAGCTTTTTAAACTACACTAAGTCCCAGAGCAAGTATTTCTGTTATCAGAAAACTTTCCACAGTGTGAAAAAATGGTGGGTTTCATCTGTAACATGGTCACAGATGATCTAATCTTGCTAGTTTGAAACAATTTGTTTTTAAAAAATAGTAATCAATTCTTTAAAGATTCTGAAACCAAGTGTTTCAGACCATCTGAGGCAGGTTCAAGTAGATAAGAATAAAAAAGCTTATCACATAATACTTCAGCACTGATATATCATAATTGTACTTCATTACAAATATCTTTGTGAATTGCCAATGAACAATATCATATGTTACCGATAAGGTATACTGACCATCCTCTGAAATCCCTTTAGGACCAAACTGACTCAGTGATAGTGACATTCCATCCTGCAGGTGAGCAGTGACACTGCCAAAAGCACTGACTGACTTTGTTTTCTTCTCATCAGACCTGGCTGAGTTACTCCTTCCAGTACTTCCAGCATCCCCCTCTCTGGTCATCTTATCTCCTGTAAAGTCAAAACCAACATGTCCGCCATTTCCAAGTCACAATGGGATCTATTGTTATCACACAAATACAATTTTTTATGGATCAGCTATCCCACAAATATCGGAAACCTATCAAATATCTCTTCTGGAAATCCTATATTTTAATATCTTGGCAATAAATAATAGCCCTTGTGAACTCCTAAAGTACACTGACTCTTTACCACTATGTGTTCTTTGTTACTGAAGCTGTGCCAAAAGACATTGAATCTATACATACCCTGGTCCTTTTCTGATTTCTCATGTTCAGACTTTTCCACCTCCTCTTTACTGTCCTCCTCCTCTCCTTCGCTGTCCTCCCCTCCCTCCTTTGGATCAATGACGTGCACACAGAACACATGGCCATCTTTTAACACAGATGTCTTTATTGAGTTGGTGCCCTGTGCAAACTCCAGCTTCTCAGTCCTGATCTGACCACCGTCTGAAGGGAACAGGGTGGTGGTCATCCCGGCCACATGAATCAGCTTGTTCCCCACATCATACCCGGTAAACTGGACAAAAAAAAACAACACTTCATATTAAATATCCTCGAAAAATCATCAAGCACACATTGAAGATCAATAGCATTTTATATTTGGAAAAGATTGTAAGTTTGTGTAACCCTGTGGAAGAGGTCTGCACATGTTTCATTCTTACAAAGTAAGGAGATTCAGTATGCCATTGACTTTCATCCATTAATGCTCTTCACAAGTCAATGGAATTTCAATTCAAATCATACCTAATCTATATAAATATTGTTTATACAGTAGTCTGAAAACCAAATGAAGCATTTTGGTTTAAAGTATGTGACTCAAGTGATGAAACTTACTGGCCAGTATTTCTCCTCTACAGGTGGTGCTTCACCATCCTCTTTAGGCTGGTCATCTGGCTCCTTGGCAGAGGTCTTAGACTTGGCACTAGCCCTGGATCCTGGTCCTTTCTTGTCCTCCTTTTCCTTGTCAGCCTGTCAGAGGGGTAGTCATTCATAATATTACATAAAGAAAGGTTTGAGGTTCAGAAATAGCAAATACAGATATGTTAATGCATTAAAGGTTAACCATCCAATGAATGAATCAACTGAATTCTGCAACAAAATTAAAAATCTGTGAAAATTTATACGAAATTGCTGAAAACATTAAACCTCTGTAAATGTAGTGCTCTGATGGAGTAGTTTCTCCTGACAGTACATAAAACAATGCTGCATTCAGTAACGAATTGAGTTTAAAATGTTCTCAAAGGTAATGAGTCAAAAATTCAACTCCTTAAATGCTTTTACATGTACATGTATTCATTTTAAAATCGGAAGTTTGTCTCAGAAATTCTAGTGACACGTAAAAATGTTATAACACTAGTTATATATATATGGAAAATCTGTACATGTACATTGTACATGTATTTTGAATCAGAATTATAGAATACGACCACTAAATAA